AAAATTGAACATGCATGTTGTAATAAATGCATTCTGGAAAATGTCAGTTTAGTTAATACTCATTTTGTCATCAGATTTGGAGAAAAATTATCCGAGGCATTTTTGTTGATTGGACCATTGCAGGTGCTTCATGAGAAGGAAGGGACGGTATACTGTTTGAGACACGCCCTGGAGCTAGCCCAGCGAGGTAAACTCAACAAGTACTACAAGCTGATGTACCGATACGATGAGGTCAGTCTGGAATTATGTAGGCGCTAAGCAGAAATCTTGGCCTGGCAGATTTATGTACTAAGCAAAAATCAACTGACCCCTCCTTCCATGGGATCTCAGTTACAATCTCAGAGGTAACCAGTCTTTGTTTCCTCACTCCAGAACCAGCTGGATAGTCTAGTGTGTGATGCTCAGTCTCCCAGAGACAGGCAGTCACCCAGTAAGAGGACATCACCAAGTCGTCGCAGCTTGCTCAGGAAGCACGACAGCAGTAACAGAGATAGCAGATGACTGCGGGAGGGTTAGTCATCCTCGGCCAACCACACCTCCACCAACACACTTCAGGGAATGTGATCTAATTGCAATAACACTTGTCACTCACCTCAGTTTAAATGCACCATCAATTTGCAGGACCTGCAGCGGCAAAGAGAATCAGCAACTGCAGCAGGGAGGTTGCCTGGTACTGCCAAGGCGAGTTGCTGTTGCACTGCCAAGGCAGGCCAGACTACAGCAATTGGTGGTTCACGAGAGCCAAGGGAGCTGCAGCAACAGCAATCCAATCAGGAAACAACAGCGAGATGCTGCTCTGCCGACGTCTGAAACAGCTCAGAAACACAGCAGCAGTTATGTTGAGTGTAAAAACTTCATCACATTCAACCAAGTTCCATCAGTTAAATCTGTGGCCATTTTGATGTACTCCCTGATTTCTGGGCAATATAAAGTCCCATATTCCAACTATTGCTGCACTTTTTTTGTGAGTATATTCCTCCAAGAGAGACATTTTTACCTGTTGAAATTACCAAGAAATGCTGCAAAGAAAACTGAATTTCTGTAGCCGCTCTCATTGAGATTATTGTTATGTACTTAAGTGTTAGTTTGATGGTTTCTAGTTGTGTTCTTGTATGCACTTGGAGAGTTCAGAATCTAAGACATGATTTTGGAGAAAGAAACGCGGCTATCTTCTTTGTTTAGGGAAATTGATATGGCTGATGTAGTGCAGTACATTGAAATATTATTACCAGAATAAGTTGTAGAATCAAAATATTGGCAGATCAGATCCTTTTTATTCACCAAAAACAGTTTGGCAGCTCATAAATATTTATGCTTAGCTGTGAGTTTTCATTAATCGGGAGTGTTGACACTCTTTGCTTATGTTTGTTCAAGTTTTTCAACGAGTCATCCATTAGGGGAACCAGCTTTGCAAGATAAGATATCCAGTAAATTTGTCCTAATCTAACTTTTATTTTGTGAAAAAAATGACAACACAAAAGTGAGAAAGGCACCAAAAATTGCACACTTCATCAATTTTTGGGCTACAGTCTAGGAGATGAATTCTTCACTTAGCACTTCCCTTGGAAGAAAAATTAAATCAGAAACGAGGAAGGTGATATACATCATTGTTACATGAGTAAGCATAAATTCCTACTTTTGAGAAACTCTAGTTTACTTGGACTTCTTTACCAAGCAGGAGAGAATTTTCCCTAGTACAGAAAAACACCACCAGAGTCTAGATTCCAATATGCAAATATTTATGCAAGCAACTTTATCACGTTAGATCTTCCAAACTAAGATAATACAAGAATATTTCCCAAGCACGGTAATGAAAACAAGAAGAGTGATCCCTTCATCTTTCACAGGTGAAAGTTTCAATTCCAACTTGTTACAGATGTTCAGTTGAAGTTTGTAGACAGTTTTTCTTGTTCCTGTAAACTACATGTGTACACAGAAAAGCACTCTCCAAAGTTGGAGCAAAATTCGTCTGTAAAATTTAGGAATGGATAGTTTATTTTTTTAAGGTGGCAAGTACCGTACTCAAAAGGAACAAACCATTTTCTGTACTAGATATGTGCTTCACAAATGTCATTGTTGAACCCTTGAACATTAATGCTCAGCAAGAAACATATTATGCTGATCATTGGGTAACCAGTTACTATGGTTACTATTAGTTATACACAGTGCTGGTGATCTAGTTCGTGTGTGTGTGTTACTCTACCAATCCTGCCTATACGCTAAGTCCAAATTGTAAATTACACATTTTAATCTGCTTGAAAAGAAAATTTGTGTTCAAATGTCTAAAACAGGTTTGTTTACTTTTTCAAGAGCCAAAAATATATATCCTTGGATTGTGTATGGGTAATCCCAGAAGTCAGGGGTCCAAAAGAGTGACATTTTGGTGTCCCTGGTACATCTGACCTTTGTTACTTGACATGGAAATATCACCGGAATCGCTTTCAAACTATTAGTATTTGTTTAGCAGGTAATTTGGTAATTAATTCATCACTCTTGGATATTAGAAAATGTGATCTGAACTGACAAAATCATATGTCAGATGTGACAGGGACACACAAAAAAGTGACCCCTAATTTCTGGAATTACCTGTAAACATTAACCTGGGCACACTTTTCTGTTGAGTGTAGCAAAATTGAAAAAAATAATATTTGCTGTGGAGTCAATTAAAGATTGGAACTTTGGTCAATATCTCGTTACAAATAATAAATTTTGCAAGGGCTGTAGGCAGGAAAGTAAGCAAACATGTCAGTGCCAAGAATGATGTGATGTGATTGACACACACAACCACTCTGGACATTAGTGTCTCAATGAAATCTCTCCCTTGCGTTGCTATGATGACTGACTTCAGCTTACCAGGTTTTTAAGCACTGAATGGACGTAAGCAGTTCTTGCCATTAAGAGTGATAGACTGAAGTGATGTTCAGTGTCAGGGCGTACCTGGTTTGGATTGGTCTTGCCATTCTTAAAATGGCCCTGTGTATACAGCCTTTATGGACAGGTTTATGTGGTTCGTTTGACACACAGGTTTACAAGTCGTCATTCAAAATGGTAGGACCGCCCATTTACTGTCAACAGTTCTGGAATTTTGTAGATAAACATTGTCAAAAGAATTACAAATATTTAAGAACCCTACTAAGATACGTAAGTGTTCATGTTATCCTGTATCATACAAGGAGGAACTCAATTTTACTTAGACCCAGTTTTATTTCTAAGTTTTGCTTTTGAGTTGAAATGTAAAGTAGAAATACATTGATATGCATATTTCCTAGGGACCAAACCATACTGATAGACTGCCAGCCTATGTGCAGAAACTGTACCCTTTTTTACCAGAATTTGTACCATATAAACAATATTTTCTAAACTCTTACAAAAGAGTTGACGATATGCTGCACAGTGGTATGACAGTACCATCTCATGTTTTCTGGTCATAACCACTTCCAACCGTGTGTGTCTTTGTCCTGTAATTTGTTCATAGTAAGTCATTAGGCTCATAGTTTAGTTAGCAAACTAACCAGATAGCTTTGAAATTGTTTAAAATTATCCAAGTTTATTTTGATGGCCTGTTATCTCTTTCTGTTCCTTTAATCCGACAACAACTTGCTAAAGCCAGGAAGTATTTTTGAAAGCACTTTCTTCAACTCAAGGGCTACACAAGAATTACCAGCTTGGAGACCATTTCTTTCTCTACAGCTGTACCATTTCCTCTGAGTGACGTCAAAATCTCTCAGAGTGCCACTTATTGTGATCAGGCTGCGTTTAGCTTCTGCTATCTAGAGGTGATGACGTCTGTGAGGATGTGGTGATCCAGACAACGTTGTGTTCTCACGCAGCAATTGGTTTTCCACGTCAGCAGTTTCATTTGAGGCATTTTGATGTGAAGCTTGTGTTCACTGGGTTTTTTTTTGGAGGGGGGGTCCATTTTGTAGTCACATCCCACACCAGAGATCTGAGACAATATTTCTTCATGTTCTGTACAACTCGTCAGTATGTTTCACCTGGAAATCTATGCAATTTGTGCCTGGTACTAACAGTCTCATTTTATTTCATGTGTCTGGTGTTCCCATTATTTGATACTTGGCCAGCTTTGTTTTATTTGTTTACTCAAATACATAACTGTATTTTTATTCATAACTGAAGACAGAAAGTCCTTTGTTTTGTGACTAATTTTGTGCAGTGAATAATGTACTGTGTATTAACCAAAGTTTGCTGATAGAAACCAAGACATTCTCTTTGATTAACATCTTTATAACATAGTCATCGTAATACTTGTGCAGTTATCTGGCTAAGCATGTAAAACACGCCTGCACTGTCAACAGGTTTTGAACAAATGTTGGAATGAACACAGGAAAGACCTATTTTATACAGTCGTATTTTTCAACAGAGAGAAATTACAGTGGATCTTACTCAAGACTTATATGCTGCTATTGTTTGTGTGAAAAATTGGAGAAAAAATGCACCCAACTTTTATACTAATGTACATGAATATTGTATTGGGATATACACTATCTGGCTCAAACTTGACCACTTAAGAATCTGATCCGTGATCAGTTAGCTCCAGAAATCATAGCCATATTTCTGTTTGGGTTTTCCTTCAAATGATGGCCACTCTTTTGGTTTTAATATTGTAGAAATGTTGATCATGTAAAAGTTTATGCTCCAAGTGTCTCCACTTGATTTAAGTTCTTGTAAGCTGCAGTATTGGCAAGGAAATGTGTTGTCTTATTGTGGTAATATTTTTACCAGATGTACTCTGAAATGCAGTGTGTTTTATTCTGAGAGAAGCTTATAAGACTTCAACTTTTCTAGTGCAAATCTATCATGCTGATCTAGAGCCCTAAGCAGCATGCCAAGCTGAATGTTGGCCAAAGTGTCACTATGGTTGAGACAAAAGATTGGAAGGTATGAGGAGGGATTAATCATGAAGATGTAGAAGTTGAAACTTCTGTTTGGTGTAGCAAAAGATGGCTGAAAGGAAAGAAAACAAAGAGTGGATGTAAGCTGAAAGGAGGTTGGAAGGAGAAGTGTAGATAGAGTGTACATTTTTCAGAGTGTAAAGATTTCAGCCAGTGAAACTAGATAAAAGCATGCTGATGTCAGAAAATCAGCACTCAGTTTGATTCAGTGGATTATAAGAGATGTATTCAACAAAGTAGGCAAGAAGATATCACAGTTTCTATCATAAAAAAGATTGGTGTGTTAAGAGGGGAATATTTGTTGCCCAGAGACAGTCTTGGACAAGTATCCGGACTGATTTTGGAGAACTGTAATTGAGACAGAGGTTCTTCAATCTACATCGTGGCAAGACCCCCAGAATAGACCATGGTGGTACTGAAGTTCCATAGAGTATGTACATGTAATTATCTGTAGTGAGTTGGTAATAGAAACGAATTGGCTGTTTGTGGCAGCCATTGTATGAAAGTCATCGTTGTGGATGGATGCTGTTGTCGGTGTCTCCTACACAAGTGTTTGTAAAAACAGACTGTAAGAAACTGTGCTTGTAGAGAGTTTTCATGAAATCTTACAATCTGCCAGCTTGTACTGTACTCTAATGGGAACATTCAAGGAAGAGGAGATTTTTTTTTCCTTGTGAAGTTGAACGGCAGTTTCTAATAGCAAGTGATCTGTTGCGAGATAGGAATGATGTTGAGTTGTAAATTTGTAGAGATAAAAATGGGCTGTACACTGTATCCGTGTTCTTTCTATTTTTGCTACTTGAATTGATGCTGTAAGTAAGCAGAGTTGCATTTGAGGTCTTTGGCTTTTGTTTATCGCGACTGTTTTTTTTTTTTTTTTTTACTTGTTTTGCAAATCCTGCTGCTGTTAGCAAATCCTATCGCTGTTTCATGCACAGCAAGAATTTGGAGGGCTAGGATTTTTTTCCAAGTTGCCAGTCAGGTGATTGTGTTTTGCTTGTGGCATTTTTTTCTTTGTAATTTGACTCTTAGCAGTTGCCATTGTTTATATATATTGACTTCTAAAAAAGAGTAGTTTGTTTAATTTCTGTTGATATCAGTGATGGGCACTGTCACCAATTGTCTTTGAAATCGTGGCAGTGTTTTGGACTAGGGATGCAAACCTCAGCACACATGAACCTAAACTTGTTGCTTGAACTTTTCGATCCATTTGAGGTCATGCTTGGCAGCCATTTTGGAAATGAATCCACAGACATCTTGAGAATCACACAGAGCCTATCAGTTTTTATAATTTAAATTATAACAATGATTGCCAGATAAAAAGTTTTACACTGTTACGTAAAAAGGGGATATTTTCTGGTGTAAAGAAATTTGGAAGTCCAAATCAAAAACTATAGTTTGGAGAAATTTTGAGAAAAGATTTTAATTGTTGGAAATGTTATTGGGGGGGACTTGAGTTCTTTATCAAAATTGTTAGAGTTAAATACCAACATTCAACACAGTGGCTTTCGTTATTATTTAAAGTTGGATTGATAAAGATAGCTCTGATTCGTTAGTATCTCTGTGGTCTTTTGATTTCTAAAGACGAACTTCTCTCATGCAACTTGTTGAGTCTCTAGCTGAGTGATTTGCTTAGTCTATGCGGTGGTTGTACCATCTAGTCATGCCTAGCCAAACCAATGCAATGGCCGTTATGTACTAAGACTGTATACACCATAGGGATATTCAAGGCTCTTTCTTCTTTATCTGTGATTTCCAGCAAAAGAACTTTCCGATGGATATAGTTATGACTTACATGTGGACAGCTTGTCAGTAAGATTGTTTTCACAGTCTGACAGTTGAGGGATCTGTCACTTCTGGCAAGCTGGGGAAAAAAGTCACCGACGAAGAAGAAACAAGGATCAGGGAAAATTGTGTTTGCATTTTGTGAGGAAAAGGCTGATGTATACAGACAGCCAAACATTTTCATAAACATTCCAACCTGAATCAAGAAGGTTTTGATTTGGTATGTTTTTTATGTGGCGGGTAAAGAAACACAGTAACACCAGGCTGTGATCTGGTTGATTGATCTTATCTTTGGAGTGGTAGAATTGTAGCATAGTTGAGGGTTCACTTGAACCGTTATAAAAGTAGAGGTCGTATCTTTTTTTTTTCCTTGTTCCTCACAGGTTTTTTTTTTCAATTTGTTAGTTTTTTAATGTTAGTTGCCTGGATTTTTTTTAAGTCAGAAATTGCTGGGAATTGTAGTCAAATACTACAGTCTTTAAAACCCATGTGAGATTGGTTTTGTATTTGATGTAGTTCATTAGCCTTGGCAGATAATTCAGTTTCATTTTCTCACTGTTTTTCCCGATGAAATGCGACTGGCAACCAGTGTTCTGGGGATTACAGCGCTATTTTTTGAATGGTGTGTATTCCTCTTACTCCTGCGCTCGTTAGATCCAACTGAGATTCGTATGGTGGCGTTACTTTTTCTTTCTTTCCAACTTGTGTGCTTTAATTTTTCTCAGGGGAATTTATTTAGAATAGCATAATCAAGTTGTGAAACAGAAACGGTTACCTCCCCTTTTAGAGGTAACAAGATAGCATAGGATTAGTTCCACAGAATGCATTTATGCTATGTACTATAAAAAAAGGACACCTTTTCAGTTTGTGTTTCTTTCACAGAGATTGGTTCATCAGTTCACAAGAGGTGTGTTGGCACACATGCGTGGTATATGGTACCCGAATATTTGCGACATATACCCCTCTCTGAGAATTTCGTTCACTTTTGTGCTTCAGTACCTCAGCTCATTCTTGTCTGCCATTAAATTTGTGGCCATCCAAGACTTGTATTCAACTTTAAAAATTCCAAGAGTAGGCCATTGAGTACTATTAGTACTATAACATTAGTATTAGTAC